TTCTTTAGTTACATTGTTTTGATGAGCATTAACTGATTGATTCTCATTTCTTTTTGATTGTTGAGAAAGAGGTTCTGGGTCTATTTCTTCAAAGAGAGTAAAAACATTTTCAGAGTTTTGTTGTTGTGTAACAGCACTGTTTCTTTGAGGAGATACATTCCATAAATCAGTGTTGATTTTTTGGACTGGTTTTTGTTGATCATAAACAACATCAGCAGGTTTTTTAAGATTCAAATGAGGTGTTTCTTTTACTTCATGTTTTTGTTCTTCATGTTTTTGGTCTTGTTGTTGATTGTCTAGTTGTTCAGAATATTTTAACACTATTTCTGTTAATAAAGAAAACAAATCTCTAGCTTTATTTCTGACATCTTTGTGGTCATCTACAAGGAAAATAGAGACGTAAGGTAGAATATTACGAGCACTATCACTTGCACTAAAATCATTAATATTGTCTTTTATTCCATTGATTATTGCAACTCTCATTTCTTTGACAACATCCTTACCACTACGAGCAATAGAACATAATAATAATCTCTTTCTTGTTTCTGGTGTAAACAATGAACAACTTTTTGAAATACAAACAACTGTGTTTGTTCTAACAATAAGACTAGGATCACTAAGTGCTTTTTCAAATCTATTTGCACATTCCAATTGCTTAGATTTATTAATTTTTTCAACTAATACTAAAAGCGCCCTTATTCCAGCATCTCTTATTTTATCATTTTGATGGTTTGTACATTGCATAATACTATTAAATAATGACTCTGCAAAAGATTGAGTTATGTGTTGAGAACAATAACGTAATGATCCTAATGCACTGTATTTTGTTTGGAGGTCTGATGAATTAATAAACTTAGGGATATAGTCTTGTACTTGTTGTACAAATTCATCTTGTTCCAACCCACTTGAAACTTTTAACAAAGACTCTACTGCGCATGAAGCTTCTGGCATATTAGATCTAAATAAGTCAATATAAAATGGAAGTAATTTATATCTGCAAAATAGTGATGGAAGTGAAGTTTTAGTAATTGAACTTAAGAAAGAACGACGAGTAAAATCATCCAATGCTGAATAATTATCAATGTTATAAACAATAGTTAAAAATGGTGTTGAAACACTTGGATGAGTTAAAAAAGAAGTTATTGGTTGGGAAGCTAATGAAGAGATTAATGCTTGGAGTGTTGCTGGAGGATTTGGATACACTTGAGAAGCTAATTTTGAAAAAGAATAGCTATCAACATATTCTGAAGATGAGTCATTTGGTAAATGACCAGCACTTCTATTTGATTCTATATATGTTTTGAAGTCACCTAATTGTCCTAATTGAGTAACATATTGTAATCCTCCTAATTTCCATTCTCCACTCTTTGTCACAAAAATACTGTTCTTTGTAATATTGTAATGACCTAACTTAGCTGTTATATTAAGAAAATGAATAGCATTAGCTAAAGAAAATAGTCCCCATAATATCATATCTTCATTACACTTACTTGATTGAAGAAAACTAGTTAATGGATAAACCTCTTCTGTTAGTATTATTGTTGTTCTATCATTAACAATATGGTCTAAATAATTTATAATGTTTGGATGTTTTATTGTTCTAAATCGTTTAAGTACATTTTCATTTAGAATTCTTGGATTACTTGAAGGAAATTCAAATAAACTAATATTCTTTTTGTCTGAAACTTTCTTTGCATGATAAACAGTATATGTAAAATTATTTTCAGTGATAGTTTCTTGTTTCTCTTGTGATTCGTATGGAAGACTTGGTCCAACAAAAGCTTTGAATAATTTCATTTCGATTTATTATGTCTTTTTCAGTACAACAGAACATTCACACAAATTCAATAGTTTTATTATAATATCTAATAATAAAAGGAAAAGAGAATAGTTAAAGAAACTCAAAACGAGAGACAAAAATAAAAAATCTTTTGTTTTGTCAGATCTCAAAAGATTATATTTCTTTCTATTTAATTTTAATTTCATTTATAAAAAATCTTAAAACTCTTTCATTTAATAATTGTCTTTTTTATCAATTAACTACTTTACTTATTTCTTTAGAATAATTTATCAATAACAATATATAACTACTCTTGATTATTAAATTTATTAATAAGTATTTTTTGGTTGAGTACTAAACTCAAAATGTATTAATAAACTAACGATATTGTTTTGGGTTGTCATTGAGCTGTATAAAGCCTTCTGCATAAATTATATGAAATTTTACTCATGAAAACGTTATTCTTTATCTCTGTTAATGACATTTTTTGGTTTCATTACTGTTGGTATACTATTTTAATAAGATTTAACATAAACTAACTTATTGATATGCCCATCTAATTACCTTTCACTATCATTATTATATGATTTATTGACATTAATGATATTGTTTATAATTGATTGTTTGATTTGTTTATTAATTTTTTTATTAACCCTTCAAATTGATATAGTGAAAGAAAACCAATTGAAACAATAATTTTAAAAGATAATTATCACTTGTTCTTTTATTCATTTTTCTTCGTTAAAACTTTTATTAAAAAATATCTTACTGATAATTATATTAATGTTAGTCTCTTAATTATATATCATACCCACTCCATAATTTTAATTAAATTTGAGGATAAACAACAATTTCTTTATTTTTCAAGAAGTAGTTATTTTAAAGAGTATTTGTAATTCAATAAATTTTCATTTAACTAATTAAAATAATTGTGCATATGTGTTGTTTAATAGAAATAATAATTTCTTCTACACTAATTTAAATGTACTAAATAATTGCAATTAAACAATTCAAATAAAAAACAATTTTTGAAAGACGATAAGAGTTCATAAAATGTTCATAAATGAGAATATGTTTTGATTAAATAAAATAAAATGTCTATTACTAAATTAAAGAAGTTTTGGAAATAATTAAAGAAGAACATATGTATTTTATTATCATTAGAATACTAAACCTTTGAGACTACAGCTGAAAAAAACTAGTTCATCAAAAAAATTATATTTTTTAAATAAAAAAAATATAAGAAAGTTCTAATAAAAGAATAGTAAAAATAATAAAAACCCTTGAAAGAACTAAATGTAGATTAAGCTGGATGAGTGCTAAAGTTGCCACTGCTGTTCAAAGAGAAACTTGCACAAAAACTGTTTGCCCATGCAAAGCTAGATGTCAAGCATTCAGAGCTGAAGTTATCAAAAGAACTATTAAAAATCATAAAGACATTGAAGCCACTAAGAAAGCAGTTTATGTTGCTAAGAGAAATGCTGAAATTAATGGTGATTTATATGCTGAAGCTGATCCAAAATTAATTGTTGCCATTAGAATTAGAGGTATTAATGGAGTTTCACCAAAGATTAAGAAAATCCTTAAACTCCTTAGATTAAGACAAATTAACAATGCCGTCTTCATTAAGGCAAATGCATCAACTATTAAGATGTTAAGACTTGTTGACCCATATGTTACTTATGGTTATCCAACTTTAGAAACTGTACAAAAACTCATTTACAAACGTGGAGCTCTTAAAATTAATGGAAATAGAATGCCAATTACTTCTAACTGTATGATTAAGAAAGCTCTTGGAGATAAAGATATTGTCTGTGTTGATGATCTCGTTCATGAAATTTACACTGTTGGAAAGCACTTTAAGGAAGTTAACAATAAACTTGCTCCATTTAAATTAAACGGTGCTAAAATCGCTGAAAAGAATAAGAAGATTCATTTCATTCTCGGAGGAGGATTTGGAAATCGTGAATTACTCATTAATAAACTCATTGCTAAAATGAATTAAATTGATTTACTCATGAAAGGAGCCTTTGCTAATTGCATTTCTTTTGTGCTTTTTATTAAAAAATTTTAATTTTTTTCTATAAAATAAGTTTAAAATAAAATAATTAATAATAATAAAATGATGTTTTATCTCTTATAATTAGATTTGATAAAATCAAATAAATCGTTCAATGTATATGTCATCTTAGTAAAAGAAGTTATAGTTCTATACTTTGCCATATCAGTGATAATATCTTCCATTTTATGTTGACAATCAATTACTGATTGATTTTCATCATCAATAACACTCTATAAATTAAATAAATAAGGTAAGTAACAAATAAACTAAAAATAAACAAACTTTTAAATAATAGTTTTGTTGAATTGA